AATAAATAAATTTTTTTAAACTTTTTATTTAGTAGATATAAATTTCCAAAGTACAGTTTATGGATTACAATATGGTTTTTCCCCCCCATAACTTCCCACCCACCCACAACCCTCTCATCTCCTCTCCCTCTCCCATTCCATTCACATCAAGATTCATTTTCTATTATCTTTATATACAGAAGATCAATTTAGTATATATTAAGAAAAGATTTCATCAGTTTGCCACCACACAGAACACAAATTGCCAAATACTGTTTGAGCACTAGTCATATCATTAATTCACATTGAACTACACATTAAGGACAGAGATCCTACATGGGGAGTAAGTGCACAGTGACTCCTATTGTTGACTTAACAAATTGACACTCTTGTTTAAGGCACCAGCAATCTCCCCAGGCTCTAGTCATGAGTTGCCAAGGCCATGGAAGCCCCTTGAGCTCGCCAACTTTGATCTTATTTTGTCAAGGCCATAGTCAAAGTGGAAGTTCTCTCCTCCCTTCAGAGAAAGGTACCTCCTTCTTTGATGGCCTGCTCTTTCCATTGGGATCTCACTCACAGAGATCTTTCATTTAGGTCCTTTTTTTTTTTTTTTTTTTTTTGCCAGAGTGTCTTGGCTTTTTTTTTTTTTTAACAAATATAATTTGTCTATGTCCCACTTATTGATTTAGGTCAGTACTTGGACTAATGTCAAGATTGTAATTGATATTAGTTTCACATAGGCCTTAGGTTAGCTTGACCCCAGCAACCATGTATTCTCCATCCCCTCCTTGTGGTTTTTGTCTTTATAAACCCTGTTGCTTCGAGCTTCAGTGTCAAGAGTTCCTTAGAGCATAGGCCTTCTCTCTACCACCAGCAATAAAGGACCATCAAATGTTATCAAAGTGTGGTGCTCTTCTGTTCACACTCATTCAGGCACAACACTTCCACACAGGAACCTATGTAGAAGAGTCCACCACCGGGGGGAGGAGTCCTGTCCTCAGGATCAGGCGAGGGGATGCTTCTGCCCAGGGGCTCTGTAGGAGGGTAAGGTTCTCACTTTTACCTGAGCCACACAGGAGGGGTCTCCTAAAGCTCATGGAAACACACACTAGGAAGAAGCCAGGCATTGATTCCAAACTTTTCTTTTGTACCAAGTAAACTTATCTTTAATTTCATTACTTCATGAACTCAGGTTTCCTGTATGAACACTCCAGGTGGTCCTGAGTCATTGTTGCTACATTTAGAACCCAGGAAAAGGAAAAAGAGGATCTTAGGGAGAAACTGAATCAGAATGGAATGTGTACTTTAGTTTAGAGTAACAAAAGTTAATTTCTGGCCGATGCCGAGACTCACTAGGCTAATCCGCCGCCTTGTGCACCGGCACACCGGGTTCTAGTCCTGGTCGGGGCGCTGGATTCTGTCCCGGTTGCCCCTCTTCCAGGCCAGCTCTCTGCTGTGGCCCAGGAGTGCAGTGGAGGATGGCCCAAGTGCTTGGGCCCTGCAGCCCATGGGAGACCAGGATAAGTACCTGGCTCCTGCCATCGGATCAGTGCAGTGCGCCGGCCACAGCGCGCTGGCCGCAGCAGCCATTGGAGGGTGAACCAACAGCAAAGAAGACCTTTCTCTCTGTCTCTCTCTCTCACTGTCCACTCTGCCTGTCAAAAAATAAATAAAATAAAAAAAGTTAATTTCTTAGCTCTGAGAATTCCACTGCAGTGATGTAAATGTGAATGTTAGGGACTATCATTGCTATGTTTGCAACAGCTCCATTAATGTAAGCACATTTTAGTGTAAAAATTTAAGAAATACAAGGCATTTGAAAAAACATGCATATTCAGCCAATCAGCATCACTGATAAATTCTACCTGATTCTTAAAAAAAAAATACCAGGCACTCCAGAAAGAGTGTCAGTAAATTTTTAGTCAATCTATTAATGAATAGATTTAACTCAATTCTTATACAAATGTGAGAGAAGAATGTGGATATTTGACTAGATTTTTGCTAATTAAAATAATTATAAATACCTGAAAAAAAGAAATTGAAAGAGAAAGTAATAATTCTTAGCACATATGGTGAGATCAGCCTTACCCTAAAGTCAAGGTCAAATAAGACACAGTAAATAGAGAAAAAATACTCATTCTTAATGACATAATCATAAAACTGTGGTAAAACACTGCCAAGAAATAATATACCAAATAAAAAGGTAATATATCATGAACAACTTAATATCAGATATGCAATATTAGTTTATCATTTAAATAAAATCAATTAACAATTCAGTATACTAACATACTGTAAATGAAAAGCCATATAAACTAAAAGTAGAGGCAGAAAAAGTATTAAAAATAAACTCTATATCCATTCATAAAATCAATACAAAGTAATTATATAAGGAAACAGCCTTAACCTGAGAAAGGGTACTTTCAGATAACCCACAGCTGAAATGATGCTTACACTTTGAACTAAATGCTCTGTCTTGTTCCTTCTAATGACAATATTCTGTGTTCTCTATCTCACACTGATTCCTCCCCCTTTTTATTCATATTCACTACCAAGTTATACCAAGTACTGACATAAAAACTTATTTTCCTCTGTCCAGTCACAATCATACTACTTAGTTGTGCCTTAAACAGCTAATCATCATAGTATTACAAAGACAGGTTATCTCTTTTCCATCATGGCATTTCACAGCATTTTAGAAAAGAATATATGTCATGATTCTTGGTTTTTTTCCTAATATTCTGCATGAGGGCCAGGAAATCATGTTGAAAAGTAGAACAGAAAAGAAAAATGAAGCCATGTATTTCTTCATCTTCCAAACACATATATTTTAAAACTGATGGGTCAGAAAAGACAATGTACCAGGCTGGCGCTGTGGTGTAGTGGGCTAAGCCATCATCTGCAGCACTGGCATCCCATATGGGTACTGGTTCACGTCCTGGCTGCTCCATTTCCCATCCAGCTCCCTGCTAATGAGCCTGCAAAGCAGCGCAAGATGGCCCAAGTGCTTGGTCCCCCGCACCAACGTGGGAGCTCCTGGCTCATGTTTTTGGCCTGGCCCAGGCTTGGCTGTTTGCGGCCATTTGGAGATTTAATCAATAAATGGAAGAAGATATCACTATTTCTGTCTCTTCTCTCTCTGTAATTCTTTCAAATTTATTTATAAATAGATAAATCTTTTTTAGAATGTTTAAAAAGACAATTTACATATAACATTAAGGTCATGGAGAGATCTTAGCAGATTAAACAATTTCCAAAGAATAATATCTTGAGTAAATTCTGTGTCTTTCTCAGTAGAGAATGCAGAGATTATGCTTAAAGTTGATCATTCAAGGAATAGACGTGCTTATTTACTGAATCACATATGAGATGATGGGGTTGTTATCAGGGAAGCAACTTGCTTTCTATTTTGTACTTTCATATTGTTTGAAATTATTATGCATAAACAATCATACATGTGCACACATGCAGAAAGAGAAGAAAAAGAACAATGTAACTCCTAATCAGTTAATTATGATTTAATTTATTCCTTTTCCCTGAGTTTAGATTGCCTTTTAGCCAACGGACATAGTAACATGTTTCTCAGAAGTTGTTTTCATGATCTGTGTGCATGTGTTATATACCTATACATCCTATACATCCAACACTCAAATTTCATTAAACACGAGGCAAAACCATAGTTGTCATACTATCAATACAGAGTTTAGAACCCTCAAACAGCAATATATTTTATTATTAGAGATTACTTTTAATCATTTAATAAGTAACTATATGTTTAAAACCAAGAGTTTTAAATTCTCATCAAATAATTATTTTATACAATTTTTGTGATGTTTTCCTTGGAATAACCTCAATAAAGGAGATCTGTGTGTGTGTGTGTGACAGGCAGAGTGGACAGTGAGAGAGAGAGAGAAAGGTCTTCCTTTACTGTTGGTTCACCCTCCAATGGCCGCTACGGCTGGCACACTGCGGCCGGCGCACCGCACTGATCTGATCGGAAGCCAGGAGCCAGGTACTTATCCTGGTCTCCCATGCGGGTGCAGGGCCCAAGGACTTGGGCCATCTTCCACTGCACTCCCGGGCCACAGCAGAGAGCTTGACTGGAAGAGGGGCAACCGGGACAGAATATGGCACCCCATCCAGGACTAGAACCCGATGTGCCAGCGCCACAGGCGGAGGATTAGCCTAGTGAGCCGTGGCACCAGCCGATTTTTGTGATTTTAGGAAGTGATGGAACATGGTTATACTGATCAATCTTATCATGAACCCATTTATGAAAAAGAAGTCACAATTTCCTTGGCAGTTTTGGACAAATATGGATAACCAAATCTTCATTTTACAGGCAGAAGTCTATTTCCTGGTAGCTGTTACTCAGTGGTTCCCATCTAAGCATATTTGAACCCATAACTTTCTCCATCCCATCAAGTGCATTTTCCTGGTCCATGTGGAAAGGATATCCTTGGTGCCACTGGCTGTTCTGATGGATCTTTGCAAACTCAGATAACAGAACTTATGATTTCCTGGTCTATTGGAAATGCCTTTTGTCTTGATCAATGGCTTGTTAAAACATACAGAAATGCTAGGAGTCAAATGTAGGAGTCAAATAAGTGGAATAGAAAAAAGCCTTGAATAACAATAGGCTTGCAGGAATGATTATAGGTTTATAGTATATGGAATCTTAATTTACCTTCTGATTACATGCTGAACATTATATATATTACATATGTACATAAATTTATAATTATATAAAGCACAGGCATAAGTGTAAAATTTTTTAGTCTATATTTTCATATAATATACATTCATAATGGTATAATATTAAACACAAATGAAAAGACTGATAAACTACATTATCTCCTTAAGACTTCCATTTAACAAAGTTTAAAAATTAAGAAAATCTGAGAGAATGCTGAGATATAGAAAATAATTTTATCTGCATTAAATTAGAATTCTATGAAACTATGAGAAAAATCTCACAATAAAAGCTGGCATAGAGGCCAGCTCTCTGCTGTGGCCAGGGAGTGCAGTGGAGCATGGCCCAAGTCCTTGGGCCCTGCACCCCATGGGAGACCAGGATAAGTACTTGGCTCCTACCATCGGATCAGTGCGGTGCGCCGGCCGCGGCGGCCATTGGAGGGTGAACCAATGGCAAAGGAAGACCTTTCTCTCTGTCTCTCTCACTGTCCACTCTGCCTGTCAAAAAAAAAAAAAAAAAAAGCTGGCATAGACTAGAGATAACTCATAAAAAATACAGTAAAAAATATAGAAAAAAACAAATGGAGTTGCATAACCTCACTAGTAGTCAGGGTAATTCCAATTAATAATTACAGTAGCTTCTAATTTATCATGGAATCACTTAGAAAACACGAGTAAGAAGATATAATCCAAAATATAGACAAAAAAGACACATTTTGAACAAATATACATATGGGACTCAAAAACACCCATAGCATTTCTTTTTTTTTCTTTCTTTTTTTTTTTACAGGCAGAGTGGACAGTGAGAGAGAGAGAGACAGAGAGAAAGGTCTTCCTTTGCCGTTGGTTCACCCTCCAATGGCCGCCACGGCCAACGCTTGCAGCCGGCGCACCACGCTGATCCGAAGCCAGGAGCCAGGTACTTATCCTGGTCTCCCATGGGCTGCAGGGCCCAAGCACTTGGGCCATCCTCCACTGCACTCCCGGGTCACAGCAGAGAGCTGCCCTGGAAGAGGGGCAACCGGGACAGAATCCAGCGCCCCGACCGGGACTAGAACCCGGTGTGCTGGCGCCGCTAGGCAGAGGATTAGCCTATTGAGCCGCGGCGCAGGCCCCCATAGCATTTCATTGCATGGAAGTAAGAGGTAGAAACACGTATTTCAGATCAAATAAATAATTCTATAGATATGGAAGCTATTTTGAAAGTAAATTACACAATTAAAGTGAACTAGCCAAATCTCAACAGAATATATTAATTAAAAATAAATACACCTAATTTTACCTAGCAGATTAAAGACCTAAGTAGACCCAGTAAGTTTTTTTTAAGAACAGCTTCTTAACCTAGTAGATATTAAAATGTGTTTCACATTAACAAAAATTAAGCTGAAATTTATCATACAAGCTTAGTCAGCTTTTTTCTACTATAATGAAATACTCATGTTAGCTAAGGTTATAAAAGAAAATATTTGGCACAGAGTTTTAGAGGCTTGGATCTAATATCAGACAGCCCCACTGTTTTGACCTATATGAGTGCAATGGATGGGACTGATGGAGTATGTGCAGACGAAGAGCCACATTGCAAGCCACAAATCAAAGAATAACAGAACCTGACTCAGGCTTTTATAACCAGCCTTCTGGGAAGCACTAAATAGTAATGTCTCATACATATACATATACATATACATATACATATACATATACATATACATATGAAAGGAATGAGATAGGGTGGTAGAATGGGGCCCAAACGTACCTATAATATGAAACAGTGTGCATGAGTCCTCCAGTTCATAAAAAAAGTTAAATAACAAAGCAAAACTATAAGAGATATATAAAATATGAAAATATGTGTTATAAAAGCTTGTGCAGTCATGCCACATCTGACACAAAACAAATTATTTGGGTCTTCCCTCTTGATGAATCTTGAAAGACTATCTTAGGAATGTCAAAGAACTAAATTTTCACTTCTTTGATCCTAAATTGTTGTTACTTTGTATTTTATTAATTTTGTTCTTATCATAGTATCTCCTATTATTTTAATACCAATTACTTAAATATAATGTTTATATGATTGTTTCTAGGTTGAACATTTACTGAACTTGTATTAAGAAATATTTTCTTTATTTTGTTTAAGGAATACAACTTCATGATTTAATATATACAATTTTGAGAACATGATGCTTTATCCCCCCTCTACCTCCCTCCTACCCATATACCTGGCTTTCTTCTTTCTCCCTCTTCCTTTCCCATTCTTATTTTTTACAGGGATAAATTTTCAGTTAATTTTTATATTCATGAGATTAACCCTACACCAAGTAGAGAGTTCACCAATTAGCATGAAAAAAAAAAAAAAAAACAGAAACAAACAAGAAAACCATTGCTCCCCAACAGTCAAGGCAAGGGCTGTTCAAAATTATCACATCTCAAAATGGCAGTTTCGCTTCTATAGATTATATTTTAAGTACTACATTAGTTAACACAGATCAGAGAGACCATATGGTATTTGTCCTTTTATGACTGGCTTATTTCACTAAGTATAATGGTTTGCACTTGCATCCATGTTATTGCAAATGTCAGGATTTCATTTTGTTACCACTGTAGTATTCCACATTGTATTTATACCATACTTTCTTTATCCAGTCTTCAGTTAATGGATTTCTGGGTTGATTCCATATCCTAGCTATTGTAAATTGAGCTGAAATGAACACGGGGTACAGATAATTCTTTCATACTGATTTCATTTCCTTTGAATAAATTCCCTGGAGTGGTATGGCTGGGTTGTATGGTAGGTCTATATTCAGCTTTCGGATATGTTCCACACATGTCTTCGACAGCAGCTTTACCAGTTTACATTCCCACCAACAGTGGGTTAAGGTACCCTTCTTCCCACATCCTCGCCAGCATTTGTTCTTTGCTGATTTCTATATGGGAGTCATTCTAATGGAGGTGAAGTGAAACTTCATTATGGTTTTGATTTGCATTTCCCTGATGGCTAACAATCCTGAGAATTTTTTCATGTGTCTATTAGATGTTTGAATTTCCTCTCTTGAAAAAATGTCTGTTTAGTTCCTTTGCCCATTTCTTAATTGGATTGTTTGTTCTGTTGTTGAGTTTACTGAGCTCTTTTTAGATCCTGGAAGTTAATCCTTTGTCAGTTGCACTGTTGGCAAATATTTCCCCCACTCTGTCAGTTGCCTCTTCTCTTTGCTGAGTGTTTCTTTTGCAGTGTAGAAGCTTCTCAGTTTGATGTAATTCTACTTGATAATTTTGACTTTGATTGCCTGTGCTACTGGGGTCTTTTCCAAGAAGTTTTTCCCTATGCTAATATCTTGTAGGGTTTCCCCAATGTTCTCTAATAATCTGATGGTATCACATCATAGATTTAGGTCTCTGATCCATTTTAAGTGGGTTTTTGTGTAAGGTGTGAAGTAGGGGTCTTGTTTCATACTTCTGCATATGGAGATCCAATTTTCCCAGCATCATTTATTGAAGATACTGTCTTGGCTCCTTTGACAAAGGTAAGTTGGTTGTAGATGCATGGATTTATTTCTGGGGTTTCTGTTCTGCTCTACTGCATGTCTGTTTTTTGTGCCAGTATCAGGCTGTTTTGATTATAACTGCCCTGTAGTATGTCTTGAGGTCTGGTATTGTGATGCCTCCAGCTTTGTTTTTGTTGTTTAAGATTGCTTTAATTACTCGGGGTCTCTTGTGTTTCCATATGAATTTTAGCACCAGTTTTTCTAGATCTGTAAAGAATGTCAAGAGTATTTTGATTGGTATCATACTGAATCTATAAATTGCTTTTGATAGTATGGAGATTTTGATGATGTTGATTCTTTTAATCCATGAACATGGAAAGAAGCAGTCAAGGATACCCACTCTTACCATGGCTATTTCATATAATTTTAATCTTTTTATTTTTAATATTAACTCTGATGGCTCTGTATTTCCCACTATTGCTTTAATGCATGTCCCAAGTCAACATGCAATATTTTCATTATTATTCACTTCAAAAGATTTAATTTTGACTATAAATGTTTTATTTATTATAAATTATAAAATATTGTTTTATTTATTTAAAAAAACAAATGTTTTATGAATGTGCTTCTAAAATTTCTAAAAAGTACATTTGTCAAGTTACATTTTGTTATTCAATTTAGCTATATTTGTGCTCTAAGAATAAAAGCTCATGACAATGGTTGTCCGAAATATGACAAGACTTGAATTTTAACCTATATTGTAAACAATGTTGGATACTGTTTGGGTATTAGAAACAGTATGACTTCTCCATTAGTTAGCAGCACTGTTCTATAGGAGTTCATTATATCAAGTTTATGTTCACATTTCCTATAAACATACTTGATTTTTACCTTCCTATTGTACCTGTTACTGGAATGTGAGAATAAAATTCTTCCTTGATAGTTAATTTATCAAATTATCTTTGCTAAAGATCTATAATTAATTAATATGAGATCATAAGTGATATACATTACTGGATATTTAAACATTTTATCAATATATATTAACAGACAATCTCTAGTAATGCTTGTTTCCTTTATGTATATTTTGCCTAATTACAAAAAAAGCTTTATTTTGCATTTGCTTCCTATTCCTTTTCTCATTATTCCACTTTGGTCATTTTTGTATCTTCATATTCTCATACTTCATATATTTTCATAATGGACCTGACCAGTAGAAGTGCCAGGCTATCTATTTGCGACTTTCTGTATTTTATTTAGTGACAGTTTTCCTAAACTGCTGTTATTTAATTTTAGGAAAATGGAGCCCAGTGCACATAGGGATCTGAGAGAGCTCTGTGACTATAGTTTAGAAATTTCTGATGGAGGAACCTTTGGGTAGAGTTGAGTTCAAAGGAGGATGCCCTTCCTGCAGCCGTGGGCTCTGCTGCCAAAGGGCCCTAGGCTGAAGTGCAGGGCTGAGCATTGCTGAGGAAGCACGCAGTTGAGCCAGGGCTGCCTGGGCAGGCCCTACCTAGGCAGACACGGGGAAGGTCCATGATGTACACTAAATATAAATCCATCACAGGCATTACATGACAGCAACATCTAGTACAAGTAGTTGTGATGAAATGAAACAGAGCAAGCATATGGTACACTGGTTAAGATGCCACTAATGGGTTGCTCACATTCAATATTAGTGAGCTCTGTTCACGTCCTCACTCTCTCGCAAATCCAGCTTCCTTCTGATGCACAACTTTGAAGCAGCAGATGATGGTGCAAGTCCTTGGGATGCTGCCACTCATGGGTCCCACGACAAACAGGTGTCTAAAACCTTCAGCCCAGCCCCCAGTGATTTTGAAGAAGGTCTAGGTGGGGTGCACTGGCATTGGGGTCACCTGTCCTGCAGTTCCCTGTGGATGGCCCTGCACCGAGACCGTGACCAACACACCCAGCACTGGAGGGATCCAGTCACAGATGCACCCCTCCTATCATGACACCTCCAGGTAAGTCCTTCCACACCCCCAGGCCCTGCCAAGCAAACCTCACCTGCTCCTGGCTGAAAGCAGTTACTGCCTGGCTGAGAGTAACCCCAAGGAGCTGACCAGAGGACAATGCTGAGATGAGTGAGTCAGGAAGAAATGTGACCAAAGCAGCAAGGAAGCTCTCACTGCCTTAATCCAGGCTGAACTATTGAAGTGTGTTTTTAATAAAAGTGCGATAGACATATAGAAACATACATCAATCATAAGGGTACAGCTTCATGAATTTTCTCCAATGAAATACACCCATGTGACACCAAACTGACACAGAGCCATTACCCAGACCCCAAGTGTCCTTCATGTCACATCCAAGTCACGCCTTCTCCTCCAATGGCAGCCACAGACCTGGTCTCTAGCATTGGCAGTCAGCTTTCGCTTCTTTGAAACTGAAATCAACAATTTCAAGTCACTGCTTTTCCAATTTTATCTGAAAGGCAGAGACAGAGACAGGGACAGACAGAGGCCTCCCATCTGCTGGCTCACTCCTCCAATGCCTGCAGCAGCCAAGGCTGGGCCAGGCTGAAGTCCGGAGCCTGGAACTCCATCTCATTCTCTTGCACAGGTGGCAGGGATTCCAGTGCTTTGGACCATCCCCTGGTGCCTCCTGAGAGCACACATTAACAGGAAGCTGGAGTCCGACTTGAACCTAGACACTCCAGCATGGGGTACAGGCATCCCAAGTGGTGTCTTAACCGCTGCATGAAGCACCTGCCCCACGATGCACCCTTTCATGCCTGGCTGCTCTTGATCAACACTGTTGGCGAGCCACCTCCATGCTCCTGCACAGATTGTGGAGCTCTTCTGGTCCTCAGAGCAACCGAACGTGCTTTCCAAAGCCAGAGGGCACCTCTACAATGACAGGGCAGCCCTGGTTTAGCAGGCATGGGCTCTAAGGTTTGAACATCAGGAAAAGATCTCTTTCGTTTTCAGTGCCTCAGAGATACTAAACCAATTACACTGAGTCATTCTTAATGTATGTTTCACTCTTTCATGCCTGTAGACCATGCAGTAAGCCCCTTTCTTCCAGATAGTGGCCATGTCTGCCTTTTCTTTCATTCCTTATCAATTACACTGGTTTATTTTCCAAAAACAAAGAAAACCAATTTCTGGCTTAGTTCATTTACTCTGCTGTTACTGCTTTCCAGCATCACTAGTTACTGCTCTTACCTTCCATACATTTTGTTCTTCTTTGTCTTCTCCTAACGTCTGAGAAAGATTCCTTGATTCATTTCTCCCTGCCTCTTCCTACTTCTAAGTTTTCTAAATTGTTTCCCTCACCTTGAAACCCACCCTTGAGTTCTGTGATGCTGGAACTGTCACTGAGGGCCCATGTTCCCTACACGGAGGTGCTGTCCCATGGCCACCAAGATCTCTGCCAGGGAACTTGGCCTCCAAACCTACCTTCTTGTCCTTTGCTCCTTAGCTCTAGGATGGAAGCTGCTTCCAGAAACCCAGTGTTCCCAACCCTCCCTTCTACCTTCTTCTGGTTTAACTAATCTCTTCTACTGACTTCATTCTGTAAACAGCATTGGTTTTGTCTCTGTTTGCTGAGTGCAGCCGTCCCATAATAATCACATGAAGGAAAGAAAGGAAACAAGTTCAGAAATGGACTGTAGTTTTGGGGAGAAGCTACCAAGCTAGGAATCTAGCAGCTTCTGATTCTCCTCTCCCTGAGCCTCCCCAGCCCAACTGTCATCATCCCCTGGGACATGCCCTGCAACCCACTCTGACCATCTCATGCTTCAGGTCTGCAATGTCCTTGTGTGTGAGGGTCAGCTGCTCAATGATGACTAGCAGGGCTGCCCGGGGGCTCTGCCACTTCCATCCCCAGGGTCCAGCATTGCCTTGCAGGATACCCCAATTACAACAACCAGAAGGAAGAGAGCAGAGGGAGAAACTTCCAAAGGGGCCTGGAACTGAAATACTAATTTCCATTGCAAACCCATTTGGTAAACTAAGTCAGATGGTCAGCCTCACCGCTGAAGTTCCAGGTTAACAAGCACGGGATCATGGAGACATGCTTCCCGATGCTGAGGTTGACATGTGCCCCACATGGCCACCAAAGCAGAAATGCCTCATGCTGTCTTCCATGGACTGCAGGAGGCTCTTCCTTGCAACTTCCTACCATACAAGTGGTTTACAACACATGGCTAGGATCCTGTCCGTGTTTATCTGTCCTGCGTGTGGTAAGCCTATGTTTACAGCCTGACGCTTCCCCATGTATATTCATATTCTGTTTCAGCATGCAAAAGTATTTTCACACAGTTCTGAGTCATCTTCCACCCCGCAACTACTTGCATTGTGTCCAACCTTCTCCCCCCCGTTTTTGAGTAGCACACCCACTCAGTCCTCTCCAGGATGTCTGTGGTCTCCGTTTTGATTTTCTGCTTTAATTCGCCTGTCCCACACCTTCAGAAACACCAGCAAGACCTTCCAAACTGTCATATTCCAACCATGACACAGGATAGGTTTCCCTTGTACCAGCCTGGCCTTTTCTGTTCATTCTTTGCTTCTGCCTTTTTATCCTTCCTCTTGAGTCTCACAAATCTCTTCCTTCTCTTCCTTCTGAGTATCTCCTCCCTACCAGCATGTGCCCTCAGGACAGCTCAATTCTACCTAAGAAATTTAAAAATGACCTAGTACAGGGATCTTAAGCTCTGATGGAGGTCGGAAAGGTTGTCTCAGGGGCTTGTTACTCCCCAAACACTAATCACCTAAACCATGCCCAACACCACTCCTGGTCTCTGCCCATGCCTTGGCCCCACCCCAACACTGAACATCCCCTGTGTCTACAGCACTGCCTGCTTAGGACACTGGATGGAAACAAAATCTCACACGTGACCTATCGTGTCTGGCTTCTCTCACTGACCTACATCAGGGTCATTTCAAGCCCTGACCCCCAGAGAGGGCTGGCAAGACCCCTACTACCACTGGGGAACAATCAGTAAGTGCAGGGGGAAGGTAGTGATTGCCCTGGTCATCAGAGAGCCAGCCCTGTCCCCAGACCCCTAAGGAGCCCGGCTGAGGCTCAACAGCCACTCTGCATGGGTCAAGCCCTGCATCTTACAGACCATTGGGCCATCCCAGGGCTTCTTTCAGGGTGTACACCAAGGCATCTGGCCACCATCAGCCACACATGGTAGTCAGCCCCAGGTACACATGGGGCCACAGAGCCTGCGCAGTTGCATCTCAGCTTTGGGTTTAAGAGAGAGGAACCACTCTCCAGGTGCCAGTGGGAGCAGCAAC